ATTAATGAACGACCTAAAGGTATCAAAAAAGATGAAATTGTGAAATTAATTCGTCAAGCATCACAACTAATTCTCGAAGGTTTTTCATTACCAGTGAATCCTCGAAATAATCTAGCAGCTGATGGACAATTATTTGTTGAAATGTGTGAAAAAGATAAAGAATTTTGCTCGTTAGTTACTATAAGAATACCGAAAACAGATTTTGCCTGTTTAGATTTTTGGACAGAAGATTTTGTACATGAGTACCGTCAATGGCAATTAGAAGGTTTTACCAATGATGGCCGAAATATTAGTTGTCCTTTTAATCGTTCATTGTTACATGAGTTAAGAGAAAAATATGAAATTCAACACAAAGAAGTGCACCATTAATTAGAAAACATCAAACACAATTCTGTTCATTATGAGAATAGAATACATTTTTTCTAATATCAATTTTAGTAAATAGATGGAGGTAAAATTTTTGCGAAAACGGGTTTGCACAGGTATTAGTACAATTATCCAGCATGTAGCTATAGGCTTTCTTTTTTGTTCTCTCTTCATTTCAATCACTGTATGACAAAAAGTCTTTATTTTTATGAACTTGATATTCATAGTCTTTACTACGTATATAGAAAATTCAAAATAAAAATCCCAAGGTGTTCGAATTTTTCAAAAAAAGACAATCAACATACACGATTTTTTACCGTCTCAAAATCATTCAAGACGTAAATAACTGTGCATTCCTTTTAAAAAGAATAGCTATAATTTACTGTTTTGATATGGTATTGAATGTCCTTCTATATGAAAATGCTTGTAGAGCCTGCTTGAAACGGATTGAACCAAATTATCAGTAAGATTTGGACTCATGGCTTGTGAGTCAGCTTGTAAAACGTCCCGAAGTTAATGTTCATTCTGTGCTTAATATTCTTTCATATGACGTGATTGCCAAGTCAATTTTTCACAATACGCGTCGCATGTTTGGTATCATTATCTTATAGGAAAATCGTTGCTTTATCTGAGTTCAAGTTTTTGGCAAATATCATGTTACCATCAATAAAAATCAAGTTTCTAAGTCCATTTGAAGGAAAATATTCGAAGTTTACCATTTCTTGCCCCATGTTTCACTGTTGGCATAGCATATATCGGATCATTTGTGTCTTGAGATGATCGTCATTCCATTATCTTTCCATCTGTTTCAAAAAGGGTGTGGTTGTGGGTTTGTGTGATGAGAAGACCCACTCCCACACACACCTACACCCAAGGGGAAAAAGCGGATCGTGGAATTGTCTGGATTCCCGTTGTATCCGCTGGATTGCATGGATCGCCATTGGATCCTCCGGATTGTGACCGTATCAGCGATACGAGAGTCTCATAGAAATAGGAAAGATAAAACAGTGCAGCTGGGTATTCACGAATCTGCATTTCCTCTTGGATGAAAAGGAATTGTGTGAAAAATGTCGAGTAGAACACAGAAGTCCGGTTATGCTATTCTATAAGTCAGTCTTCATGTGACACGACGGAACTTGCCTTCAATGAACGTTGTTACACTTTTCTGATTTTAAATAAGTTTTAGAGCTAAGAGTTTCAAGACTTTTGACCTAAATTCTTTGAAAACAAATTGTTCATTTCCCAAAGTGCTCAAATATAGCTGAGAATGCTTCCTAACAACCACATTTTTTGGTTTTTGTATTTTACATAGTTGCTAGCGACAACACATCTGTTTGACTTCAGTTTCTTAGTATGTGTACGTCTGAACTCAATATAGTAGTTGGAAATAATGAGTTTGAATGAGTGCACTATCGATGAATTCATTGGTACTGCAAGATGAGATGCACGACAAAATGAACATTTTCGGTATTATGAGTATAGATCTTTGATTAACAAACCATGTTAGTATGCAATTATGTTGACAGAAGTGGAATCTCATGGAGACTTAGTCTCAAAGAATATTCACCGCTCTGAATGGTTCGAATCGCGCTCATTCGATCTTTGACAAAATCAAGACTTTGATTGGAACCACAATACTTTCAGAGACCCATATCACGAAATATCCGATCAATTGAAGTCCTATTAGTGTAATTTTGAAGTACATACTGAGCATCATAAAATTATGTAAAATAATTATAATCGAATTGATTCGAAAATTAATAGAAAAATTACATAAAGTGCTATAGATTCTATTCAGCAGAAATCAGGATACAGTCTTCTATATATTCTCATAAAGAATTCTTTGAAGACAAAAAGAAAAAAAATCGAAAACTTCCGTAGGAAGACATGGATCTTTCGTAAGTACTTGTTCGCTTTACGGACCGCAAGGCGCACAAGAAGCTCTCAAAACGAATTTTTTATTACTTTTGAAAGGTTTTTTATGGAATGGGATAGATATTCAGTTACTGCGTAATACTGGGTGGAATTCACTTCATATGGTGAAGCTTTTCTATGAATTTTTAAACAAACCGAAGCATATTCTGCTACAGCAAACCAGTTATTGTTGACTACATTTCAGTTAGACCCGAAGAATCATTCTGAAAGATTCCAGGCCATTTTTTGAATTGCTTTCTAAAGCTCAGTTTTTTTACGTTAGAGTCAGATTTCCCAATGGGATCACAAAAGTGTCCCATGGAACAACTCGTCTAATAAAAAAAAATCAAATCTAGAATGGATTCCTATAACTTTTCATTGAAGCATCTGAGTCTATTCTGTTCGCGCATGTTGCAATCAGTTTATTCTATATCAAATTATTATACTAATCACATGCATTTTATTGGTTTCTTTCGAAATCAAATAGAGAATCTAGAGCATTAGGATTTTGACGAAACCCCTCGGCTACAATAGTGAATTCATCGAAATCCATATAATATAAGCGCTAATCGATTCCGTCGGAGCTTATAATCTATTTTTGTGATCAGAGGATTTCGTTTTCATATCTTTTCATAATAGAACGTAATAAGCGTTTCCTCTGTAGCGCAGTTTTTTATCATGAACTATTAGTTTCTAGTGTTTTTTGCTAGATTTCCGCAGTGTTAAGGATTAATAGAAATTTTTTCATATACTATGGCGCATATTAGTGAATTTTTGATATTTACGAATTCTTTTGAAATCCATAACATTCGGAGCTAGGCATAATCTACCAGAATCTACTATATACGCATTACTTCATTTTCATTCGACGGTTATAAAATATGGCTTTGAACATTGATTTAAACGGAAAATTCTTTATAGCCCTGCCCCTTCACTGATACAATCAAAAACTATGCAGGAGTACTTTAAAAATATAATCTCTTATGAACTATATAGAAATATTTAAAAAAAACTTTGGGTCTCATTATTTGAATTTCTGAAAAAAGATTTGAAAATGTCTTATGAAACCTAGTAAAAAAAATCAGAAACCAACATATCTGTTTTGAAGAAATAAGATGAACAATGAGGTTATAACAAATTTTATTAGTCAATAATTCTTTAAAGTACTAACTGAAACCATATTTAAAAGAAAGAAGCTTAGACTTTGCCATTAAAAAGAAAAAAATTCGATGAGATCAGAAAATGACTCCATCACATCTCATTCGAAGGTTCTTTAAAAACCGTGTCGTTGACCGAAACCATAATTTTTTGAATGGTTTCAGGGGTTCTAGGAACTGGCTTACACGATTTATTGCCGTTGTAAACAGTTGTTTACGTTATACTTCAGATTCGAACTCAGTTGGGATTGAAATGCATTAATTTTGTTTGTTTTTTCTGAAATTTATCTTAATTCTTCTTAGTTTTATGACAAAAATTGATAAATATTATTGTTTTTCTGAGAAGTAACTATGAGTAATTCTATTTACTGTCTTATTGTATGACGTTGCATTTGTGTTGATATTGTAAATAGTGAACACCGCATTCCTCATAATGTTAGATAATGATTTGATATAAAAAAGTTTGTCGCTGATTTTCGATCTCTTACAACTGTTTTTTTTTGGTGATCGAGAGATAGAGATATTGAATGATTGGCTGAATTTTCATCGCTAGTAAATTCGTTTTCTGTGTTCATCTGTTACTCATCTTGTTTAGATGATCGGGACTTTGGGACATGCAATGATAGGTTAGATGTTAAGGAGTTGTAAAAATGTTATATCTAATGCGTTTTGTATTTCGTTCGTTTATTTTGGTTAAAAATAGGATTTTGTGGCAAATGTTCGTAGAGAACCTACTGATAATGGTAGTATTAATTTTGAAGTAAAGTGCATCATGGGTAGTAGAGTGTTAAGGATAAGCAAAATTGAGATAAGTAGTTTGCTTTTTTCATTGATTAAATGAGAAATATAGTATTTGTGGTGCTCTTTGAAAGACATGTAACGGGTGCGGGCGTCAGTGTGGGGTGTGAGAGTGAGTGTGGATGAGGGATCTGGGTGTGTATGTGTGCATGGCTGTAGCTGTGGCTATGATTACCAAAGAGGACGAGAGCCACATCCACACACACCCACACCTATTTGACTCCTGGCAAGGCCAGCACAGATAAGAATCAAAAGAACAACCAAGATCGCTAACTTCCACCCTCAAAATAAAGCAAGCAAACTCAATAGACAGACATGACAAGGTTTTGATAGTGGGGAAGTGAAGGCGGAAATCTCAATATTAAAGGCAGCCAAGAAGATGTAGAAAAAGAATCATCGCGGAAAGCGACATTGTAGGACAAATAGTATTCCGATGTCTCGAACGGAAGCATTTCTGCAACACCATTATGAATATTCGTCGAGTTCTCACGAGATTGGAAGATGTGGATGGAGTGTGTGAATGGAAACTAAACGGTGAAGATAGTCACATCTCACTGACCCGTATCTACATCGTTTATAGTCCCAGTAATAAGATAATCTCGTTGCAAGAAACAATAGATGAATAATGTAACCACAAAAAGTTTGCATTCATTTTTATTTTGATTATATCGACATTCTTAAATTTGTTTCATGATTTTGATTATCGTTCAATACGAATTCTATTGTCTTTAACTCATTTGATTCATTCTGTTCATCAATTGTAATTTATTCAAATGTTAATTCTTGACCCTTTTGTTCATTTCGACGTCGTTTAACATTGTTGCGAAAACGTCTTAAGATTAAACGACTTAAATAAAGTTCACGTTGTCGTTGTATTGTTGTTGATATTGGATGATAATCTTTAGGACGATCTTTTTTCATGTCAATAGGTGCATCAATTTCATTACTTGCTATCTCTGTATCAAGTGTACCAAGAAAATGTTTTGTGAGACCATCAAGTATATCAACACAATGCATACGATCATATTCACATATTGGTAAATTCATACGAACAAGTATTAATTGATTTGGTTTCGAAACACGCAATGGTGGTTCGAGATCATCAACAAAATCTGATAATTGATCATAATTTATGAATTGTGAACCTGATGGATCAAATCGTTGCCATTTTTCATAATACATATCATAGTCATCATCGGTTAAACCCTAAAGAAAATCACAAAAAGATTATTTTTTAAATATTTATATTCCTTTCATTTATTACTTACTTGTTGTACATCTTCTTGTGCTTGATTAAAATTTTCTAATATTACTGCAATATACATATTTACCTAAATTAATAATAGGAAAATTCGAACGGATCCGAAAAGTATATATGTGGGGGTGGCCAGTCTGAATGAATACCTCGATTTCTTTTTTATCGCACAGCTTCTATTCGTTATCAGAAACATGATTTTTTTTACTAATTATAGTATTGATAAAGAGCTAATAATCTACTATTGTTTCGATTACATATCTTGTTCGAAACCGGAGAATCAGATAGCTTCGGAAAATCTTTGTTTGAAACATAATATTATCAGGCTGACTCATGGTAATTCGTATTATTTATCTGACAATATTACGGCCAGAACATTAATCAACTTGAGATTACATAAAGCAACAACAACGCATGCAATTGTAGTACCCACGGAATAAAATCATGAAAAAAATGCCATGACTTTCATGAATTTTACGTCAAAAGTATGAAAAAAATGGCATTTCTGATGATGAAACGGACATTTTCTTTCATGTTTTTCAATTTCATCGATGAAAATGTTTATTTTCATTGGTGACATTGTATGAATTTGATTTTTTTCAAAGTAATGGCATTATTTTGATGAAAATATTCATTTTCATCGATGAAATCGAAAAACATCAAAGAAAATGTCCGTTTCATCATCAGAAACGCCATTTTTTTCATTTTTTTATTCCCTGGGTAGTTATTACTATTATTGACACTAAGCCCTTTTACACTACAAAATTTATGTAGCTGACAAATATGAAAGTGTATTCTACTAAAACATTGTATGATGATGCTTGATTATCTCTTTATCAATACTATGATTGGTAAAAAAAATCATATCTTTCTGATAATGAATAAAAGCTGTACGATAAAAGAAGAAATCGAAATATTCGGCCAGATTCGCCACACTCATTTATATTCTTACCACAATAAGAGAAGTAATTATAACATAACTGACAAGAAATGGTGTTGCAATAGCTGTATCACCACAATCACCTTTATGTGATGGTGTATTTAAAGTTGGATTACAATCTGGTGGTCGATCATTTGTTAATGCTTGAAAAACACCAGACCAACCAGCAGTTGTACACATTGGAAAAAGTACAATCATTGAATTAGGAAATGTTTCAAAATTAAATAAATCTGTTATACCAGCTGATTTTCTTACATAAGCAAAAAATGACATACCAAATATTGAATAAATAAACATAACAAGAAAAAGAAGAAGACCAATATTAAATAAAGCAGGCATTGAAACAGCTAATGCAAAAAGTAATGTTCGAATACCTTTTGCACCTGTATGAAAAGAAAAAAATTAAAAAATATCTATAATTTATGTATTCGTATGATATCAAACCTTTTACAAGACGTAAGATTCTACCAATACGTGCAACACGAACAACACGTAATAATGTTGGATTAACCACAAATTGTGCCATAATTTCTCCTAATGCTTGTCCTTGAAAAACAAATCATTTTTCTTTTTTTTTTCTAATAAAGTTCATTCGAAAGAAAGACGACATACCAAGAACAGATGCAATTACAATAATAAAATCAAATACATTCCATGTCATAGTAAAATATTTAAAATTTAAAGCAATTAATTTCATAATACATTCAATAGCAAATCTAAATTAGTATTATTAAATAACAAAGGCAATAGCGAATTTCATAAAACTTAAACATTAGAATTCCTCTTTGTTTTGTGTGTATTTGAAATTTTCAATGTTTGGAATACGAGTGAATTATAACTTTGTTCTACTATTCAAATTACTGCTTCTAACAATCGAATTCGATTTATTCTTTTTTTGCCATGTATTACTAACGGCATATCCAAAAATGGTGAGATTAGCATTACAGCAATGTATAGAAAGTTTTGAGAAAAAAATTCTATTGACAGTATATCATCATTAGTTAAATGATTATATCATATGACTGCATTGAGTACTGAACCGAAATTCATGTATGATAAATTACATTCTGTCTTTATGATCAGAATTTATCTTAAAACACAATTGTTAAATGAATGACTGAAATCGATTCGTGAAAGTCGAGAAGAAATCGAAGGTATAACTACGACTTGGTCGATCTGTAATCGAGACAACATCAAAAATAAAATATTGAACAAGTTCGATATCTTATTAATGATATACAAGTAAAACTCGTTATAAATCATAGTAACATTGAACGAATTATTTCTGACTATTCGAAATTGAAGAAAATAAAGAACTGCTCTTTTGAAGGTGACGAGTCAAGACTATACCAGAAAACAAATTGATGGGAAATTGTCGAGCAATCCTTAGATACCAATCGATGGCACTCAGCCTAGTATATGCTATAAGTATTTCTCTGTCTTCACCAGAGGTATTCATAAGGCGCTTTTTTTTCTAACATATTCTACCGTATAGGACAGGGTAAGGAAGAGGACATAGAGGATCTTAATTCAATATATTTGTATAGTTGAGGCGAGATAGATAAATATCACTTCTTCTCATGTTAGAGTAGATTTTTTTGTATATTTCTTATAGTTCTAAAACAGCACTAAAAACGAACAGAATAATAAACACTTCAACGGATACTGGAAGTGTAACATATAATAAATGTTTCTGTATATAAAATAGAATTTCGAAAATCGGAATTTTGCCACCTGCATTTTGATAATTTGTCCAATTTCCATCGGATTTTCCACGATAAGATGAATTTCAAAATTCCAACGCGAAAATGGGCCAAATGTCGAATTTAAAGAGTATCATCGATCAGAGCTGTAATCAGTAGGGTGTTTCTCGGGACCGGTACACAGACGCTAGTCATTGAACATTTTTTTTTTCATCTTGCAAAGCCTACATTAGACGTTCGATGAGCCATAGTTGCCTCTGAATCAATATATATATTACTTATAATTTTAGTAACACTATTAAAGGGCTTTTGTGAAGCATTATTATTAATGAGTGTTGAAATCGAGGTGAAAACAACCGTTTTCAAGACTTCACTATCCAAGGCTCAGTTATTTTCTTCTGTGTTCAAGTACATGACGAGACAATTGCTTCCATCTACTCGGCTTTCTTCGAGTTTTGCTGAAAAGATACCACCATTCTTTTAAGCTGGGGACAAAGATTTTGATATTTCAAGGTGCTTAGGGAGCTTTTCGACATGCTGCATTTGATCTCGTGATGGTCTATCATTTAGATGATGAGGTTTCCTTCGTAGGCTGTCAATATGATGATAAAGGCTTTCTCATGTTTAACATTCTAGTTCTGTAAGAATTGCACTCAAACTTTGCTTTTCACTATCGATCTCTACAGGTTTCGTCTCTTTTGCAATGATCAATTGATATAGAATAGCAGAGGATTACTGATTCTATACTGTTTTTTCTTATTTATGAAGTGTTCATCAGAAAAAAAGAGAATGAATGGACTGTAGATGCGCTCGGCATATCTCAGGGGTCTTACTTTCCTATATATGTCTCTAGGAAAGATATGGTATAAATCATACAGAATGAAGTCAATTATGTCACAAATTACAATGACAAACAGTGTTGGCATTGTGTTTCAATGAAATAAATTAATACGAAAGTAATTTTATACAATATATTAGGGGATTTTAGATAAACATTACTTCAATACAAATACAGTCGATATTTTGAGGAAAAAATATGCAAAAAATTGAAAAAAAAAACTTAGGCCGGTTCGTTCTAGAAAAAGATGTTGCTACCGACTGGTAAAGAATCCTAGAACGGAACGGACCGGCCGTTTGTCGTTACCGGCTGCAACTGTGTCATCGATGTTCTTGCTTCAATTCATTGTGGCACAGCGATCAACCGAAATTTCGGAAATCTTTTTTATTGTCGAAATTACATAAAACTGCTTTTGTACCCTATCAGCAAAAGTTCACAAACTTGAAAAGTTTATTATATGTTACGACTTCATATATCTCTAATAACGGTTCCTGAAAATCAAATACCGTTTGGACTGAATGTGCGATACAAGTGAGGGCACGAGAGCGACTGTGGTCCTGGAAATGAAAGTTAAGAGAATACTCAGATCCACTCACAACCACACCGTCACTAAAATCAACATGGATGCCAACACTTACACATAATATCCACGCCCATAAGACATCTCTATCGACCCACATCAAAAACCATGCAACTACATCGATCGCTAACGGTATCTTTTACTGCTCTATTAGGTCAAATTTTCAAAGTAAATGAAAACATCCTTTTTTTTTAAATGGAAACTTTTATCGAAAATCTGCAGGATACGAAGATCTTGCCCTGTCCTGCACTGCCTTTCGGACATCTATGATTCATACGGATGAATATTCACATTTTTCTAATACATTGTAAAGTGTATTCTTGATCATACACTTACATTATAACAAATAAAGTATTAATATAATCAAGAACAAGATCATAAGTATGACTTTGATTATGATGTTCAAGACACATGCAAACCATATTAAGAAAAATACATATCATTATAAATATATCAAATTTTTGATTTGTTGTTAGATCAAAAAGAAATCGTCCAAGAGCAAACTAAAATAAACAAAGATTTCATAGATATATATATATGTATTCATCTATTTGAAAAAATTTACTCTCGGTCTTGGTAATGCTTTAGTCGGTTTTTTACTCCCCATTTTTTTCATAGCATTATAATATTTTTTTTGATCTTCTGTCATAAACATGTCTATGGTACCATCGCCTCCTAACTAAAATTAAAAACAAAAAAAAAAACAATCAACATCTTACTATTTTTCTTTATATGATTTTATGAATAAGAAAACTTAACATTCGTTTTTGTTGATTAAAATTATCAATAACAACACCAATAAATAAATTGAGAGTAAAAAATGAACCAAATATAATGAAGAAAACAAAATAAAGAAGAATATAAACATTAGTTTCATATTCAGGTTGAATATCTACCTAAAAAATGGTATCATAAAAACAAAAAACAAACTAATCGAAATAGTAACGTACGTCTTTAGCATCAGTTGCATCAGACATTATTTCAACCCAACCTTTGAAAGTTGCCTATTTGAACAAAAATAAAAATTTTAATTATTATCAAAACAACTATGCAAATATTCTCCAACTAAACTATTCAAAACGAGTTTTTAGCACAATCTCCACGAGTTCAAAATATGACATACGATGTATCTTCTATTTTCTTCATCATCTTTTTTGCTGTTTTCTCGACAAATATAATAAAGAAATAATTATTATGTTGTAAGAAGCCGTTACTGATATTAGATCTGTAGTCGTCTATAAAAAACGTATGTGATGATCTGTATCTTTGACTAGAGCCTGTCATGTCTGTAGAAAGGAAAATGGATTCAAAAATGCTACCCTGCAGAGATGGACAAAATCGCACCGCGCCTCCCCGCGCCACTGCTCGCGCCTAGGCGCTACGCACATCTCTCTTTCTCTTTGCTCTACCAATCAGTTTCTCAAACTCCACCGAATACCGGGATGCTCTAAGCATGCGCTCATCGAAGCTCAGACTAGTGTAGCGTAGGCGTGAGCAACGGCGCGGGGAAGCGCGGGGAGGCGCGGTGCGACTTTGTCCATCTCTACTACCCTGTACACTTTAACACTCATTTGAGATCGTGTTTCACAAAAGCCTGTTAGAATAATCACTGCAGAATTCACATATGAAACGTGATTAGAGATGATCGTAGTCAATTTTAGTTTCGATCTTGGTCACTGAGATTAGGACAATGAGAAAAGACTTTACCCGAACCAAAATTAAAGATTATATTTAAATATTCTATGGTTTTAAGCATATTATCAAATAGATCATATCAATTAGAAATGACTCCTAAAGAAAGGTATCAGTCGTTATCTAAATAAAATAAAAACAAAAATATTGACAAAATAATTGCTTTAGATGTAACATGTATAAATTTTCAAAAAGCTGTCTCTAAATCGAAATAAGAACCAAAAAAAACATGGTCTTACATATTTCTAAACATGCTATAGTTGTTATTACTAATCACTAGGAGATCTATTTTGAAACACATTTCTTTATCATTCAAATAAACCCCCCCTACAATAAAAGACCCCGGATCTTCTATTATGGTCTAGCGAACTTTTGTAAATTTTTGCTGGTGAAAAAAAGAAATTTCTATGAAGTGACTCCTCCGGAGGGGTCTTCTAAAACTGGGGTCTTCTAATACGGGGGGGGGGGGGGGGGTTTTTTTATTAGGGGGGGGGGGGGGGGGGTTTACAATATATAACAGGCATATAAATATAGTGTAGTTTGTCACACAATGATTTGTTTCAATGAAAAAAAGAAAGAAAATTCTTTATAATATTTTTTATGTCATTTTTGTCAAATGCGATAATTTCTTTTTTTAATGATTCTATTTGAAAATACATTATTTTTATTTTTATTCAATTAAATTTCATAACTTACAACTTGAAATAAAGCTAAATAACCAATAAGAACATTATCAAAATTAATTCGTGAATTTTCCCATGTAAAATTTCTATTTATACAATCAATTTTATTTTTAATATTTTCTGATATATTAACACGATCATGTGTACCAACATAAACACATTTATAAAATTTTCCACCAAATAATTGTACACCCATTATTGAAAATATTAACCAAAATACAAGACAAACAAGTAAAACATTAAATATCGATGGTATAGCACCAAATAATGCATTAACAACAATCTATTTAGAAATAAAAATTAAAATAAACACAAAAAAAAGAAATTTAATCGATAATTTTCATACTCGAATTCCTTCAAATCTTGATAGTGCTTTTAATGGACGTAAAGCTCGTAATGTTCTCATTGATTTAAATGCTGGAATATCAGCTATACCAAGTAAATCAAGAATAGTTCCAAGTACACTAACAACAACAATAACAAAATCTAATTTATTCCAACCATTTGTAAAATAATTTGTTATACCATAAGCAAACCATTTTAATATTAATTCAATTGTAAAAATAATTGTAAAAATTTTATCAAATATAGCTAAAATAAATAAAAATTTTGGTTGTTGTCGTGTATTAACATCTTCTAAAGCCTTTGTAGAAAGAAAAAAAAACCAAAGATTTTTATTTTTCAAATTTGTTCATTTTATTATTTTAACTTACTAAAGCTGTACTACTAGCTAATATACTACTAATAATAAGATATTCAAAATATTGATGTTCAACAATATAATGAATTAAACTACGAAAATATGTCCATCGTTCTTGAATAGATTTTGGAATACATTTACCACAACAAGTAAAATGTTTTGATATTATATTAGGAAAACAATCTGGTGGTATATGAAGAATTTGCCATGCAGAAGAAGATATAGAATTATTATTTATTGGTTGTATTTCAATATTATCATGTTTTATTAATGAATCATTATTTAAAAGTACGGAAGTATTCAAGTCTTCTGATTGACATAATGTTCGTAAAGTAAGATTATTAGTTGATTCTTTTGTAGTTGATGATAACTAAAGAAAAGAAGAAAAAAAAAAATTAAATTAAATTAAATAAGAAAATCAGTCAATTAAACAAACTTGATTATCAGTTACAATATTATTAATATTATTTTCGATACTAATATCCTTTAATATTTGTTTTTTTCGATGAAACAAACGTAAAATAAATGCAATTAGGAAATCAATAAATCGTTGTATACGATCAAGTGCTTCTGCAATTTTATTTTCTTCTTCATCTTCTTTTTCAGTTAAAACACTTGAACCAAATGATGCAAGTAAAAGTGCCAGAAATAAATTTAGTATCTATTAAAATATAGAAAAATTTTAAAAAATTACTTTAAAATAATACATCACTACTAGAAATGTGCATCTCCAACCATGACGTCTTTCTATTTATATTGCAAGATATTAGTATGACAGTATGAAATAGCCGATAATATTTATTTTCGGTCCTGGTAATTTTTGGCTTTTGATCTCGCACATGTCTATTAACTATATATTTTATCTTTAAAGAACTATTTTCAACGAAAAACTTTCTAAATGAGCCTGTTTATGTAAGTGACGACCACTAGTGTTCAATCAATATCTTTCGATTTGACTTCTTTAAATATATATGTATAATAGAAAAAATCTTTTGGTGATTTTTCGGTACAAATAGATTAAGAAAATATTGAATTCATATATGAAAATTTTATGAAGAGCCTTGTATAACTACTGTTATAATTAGAAAGAACTTTGGACATCTTACATTTTGAGAGGCATATTTTCGATAAAGATCTGAAGTTTTTTTTTTCATGAGCACATCTTAATAACAAAAAGTTAAAGTTTGCTTTTCGAAAAAATCGAGTTCTTGGCTAAAAAGGTTGCAATCATTTTGTCGACACCGTTTTATCAACAATACATTTTGTTGACAAAAACATTGCAATAAATTGAGAATATTGTGTCACAAAACTTTCAAGGTCACGATTTTTTACGAAGAGTTTCTGGTAAGTTCTGTGAAAAATGCTTACACCCATACGCATCTATGTCATTCTAAATTTTACCTTTCTAATAGATGCGACAGGATCCATTCAATAGTTTATCATCTCATACTTATTAGACAATCATAAAATTTTTATATTATTCTTTTTAGTGATCGAGCAATAAAATAATTAGAATAATATTTTTTGTAGCAATAGATATTTTATTAAGTTCTCTATAACTAATATAGAGTTATTTATAGCGAGTATGAGTAGTCGATAAGGATTAGAGATCGTCGAGTTTTAAGAATTTTTGGACCCGAATCCGACTAATTAAATTTTTTAGACTCAGATGCGATTGGCACTAATGAGGATTCAAATGAAACAGATGCTCACATTCACACTCTCTAGAAATTATGTTTTGCTGTAAACTAAAGTCATAAATAATTTATGGAAAATATAACAGAATGCATCCGCTTCATTGTTTTATCTACACTCTTATCATGAGTACCAACTAAGATATGACATCAAAATTTGAATAGAGGCATTTTTAAAGTAACTTTTCACTTATAATAATTCTATTTAATAAGGAACAAAAAGACTGACAAGGAAAGATTCTCAAGTTAAGGAGTATTTATTAGATAATATTTTGGTTAGAAATAGATCTTGACCAGTCTATAAAAAATCTCATGCTCATCTGCCTTTACTCATGAATTATTAAGTCTTCAATCGCCGAAAAATAGTAATTTTGATGTACCTTGACACTTTTTTTCCTTTTTCTCAGTCATCTGAAGGCTTTATTCAATGAGGGTGTGGATGTTAGTCTTCTTTTCGAACACCCACACCTTCCTCAGAGAAACTAGGGAAATTATGGAGATCTATCTACTCTGAAAGTTTCAAATTTTCCGAATGAGCCATTTTCGAAAAGTGCCGGAAAATGGAGGGGGAGCGAACGAGTCCATTAAGGTTCATTGGGACATTGAAAAGTCAAAAACAGAAGAATCTAAAAGACACATCAAAAATACTATTCTTCCAAGTTAAAGATCAAAATATCTTATGAATAAAAGACAACGAGCACGAAAAATTCTGTAGTTTTTTCTAGATGCATATTCGAGATCGACTTCTGGCTAAAATATAAACTAAAAAATTCTTCTTATGTTGACGAATTTCATTCATAAAATTATTCTCTTATTGTTGAAAAGATATTTTTCCTAACTACATAAATACATACCACAAGATTACCAATAACAAACGTAAGTAGAAAAAATGGAACACAAGGCCATCCAGCACATTCAAGACATACCCACATTGACTCAATCCACTCACCACATAAGACACGAAAAACAATCCTTTAAAGTCAAATACAAAAAGAAAAAGAAAATATTAATTTTTAAAATTTGTTGAAATAAATTTACATAAATGCATGAAAAAAATCAAAAAAATTCCATCTTGGTATATCTTTACCAAATTTGTCATAATATTTTTGACCAAATAACTATAAAAAAAAAACTAAGCATAAAATACATTTAATATTTCATTTTAATTTTACCTGCATTCCCATAACAGCAAAAATAAATATTATAATCACAAGAACTAATGTTAAATTTCCTAAAGCTCCAATTGATTTAGCAATAATTGACATAAGACGATTCAATGTTTGCCAAGATTTAGCCAATTTAAATACACGTAACTTAACAAAATATTAAAATCAAAATTAAAAAAAAATGAGCTTGCCTCTGTTCTTTACAGAGTTTCGTTTTTCTTAATTATCAGACAAGAATCCTTATGAGAAAAAGATTCGAACAAACTCTTGGATACTCTAGTAAGATGCTTGCATTTTCTTGTCATACTTAGTGGTGAATGATTAGGAATTCGTGTTTATCACTTTTTTATTATTTTATTTTTTATTAGAATTGAAACTATTAAAAAAAAATGAACACAAGGATTACATGAATATCAAGAAAGTTACTCAACAAAAAACAAAATTCAGTATCACTGCCATATTTCACTCTTATGTTTTTACTATAGATATAAGTCTTGCTACTCGATCTATCGTAAAAGTTTCATCCATAAACAGCAAGAATTCGTTGACAAAACTACAGTAATGGTTTTTTTCATCATTTATCAAAAAATTACGGTTGTTGAAATTAATTGTAGGTAGTTCATAACGATTTTTTCACAATTTTTCTCTAATAAATAATGTCTATGAAAGCTTTTTTGTCAGGAGTAAAAATATCAACTCATTAAGTCAAAATATGGTGGCAATATTCAAAATTTTTTATATTTAGTGGTTATATGCACATTCTATACAACAAAAAACAACTAAACTATCGATAAAATGAATAAACAAATAACAAATGCGTATCCATTTTGATGAAAATTTTGCCAACTAGTGTTATAAAAAAAACTTCAGAAAAAAGTCATTTTCTAAAAATTGTAACTTAATTTTTTTTTTGTAGAGTATGTTAACGATAAAACATCTATTGTAGAAGTAAGCGATTTATATAGGCATAAGAAACAACGAATGATGTTCTACCTTTCAATTCTGGATAGAATCTTTTCATCGTTCTCTCTTAATCGATAGAAAGACTCTTGACTGAACTTATCAAAACTAAAAAAAAATATCTGGAAAGAACACAGACAAGAATATCGACTTGTACGAATGGCAAAAGAAGCTGGTCTGACAATCAAGAATAAGGAAAGGACGATATCAAGACCGTCACATAGTGATAATTACTTACTAATCGAAATGAACGTAAAACACTTAAACCTTTTACACCAGCAAGACCTAATTCAATAACACTAACTGTAACAATTACTAAATCAAATACATTCCATCCATTTCTTAAATATTTTGCTGGTGTTAATGCAATTATTTTAAGTACACATTCAGCTGTAAATATAGCTGTAAAAATATAATTGCCTGTTACTAAAATTCGTGTCATTAGTTCACTTTGACCATGATGATCAAGTGCCATGAATAATGTATTTAATATAATACATATTGTAATAAATAAATCAAAAAATGCATCCAATACAAAAATAGTAATAATAGCCTAGAATATTAAAAAAAAATGAAATAAACATATGACTAAAAGTTTCACGTATTTATTGTCTTCATTAATCTTAATATTAATATTGAAAATGTATTTATTATTTGAAGTACAATATTTCCAGAACGAATATTTTAACATATGTTATGTATTATATTTCACAGTTGCTACCAGTAAAATTTCTAATGATGCATGTCTCCTAGTTGATAAATCATGTTTAAGTAGTGAACTACACTGGATTTTGAAGACCGATTCCGACTCTGATATAGTTCGAGTGATCGAAAATATGTTTTTTTTTGGAGTTAGTATCTGAGTTATATTAGTACAACAGTGGAATAGTTTGCCTCTTATTTAGAAACAAGTTTATTCATGAGATATTAAATAATAAATATATCAATAGTTCTTTTGTATGTATTCCAAGACATGAATTATTGTCGATCATCATTTACAAAAATATGATGAAAACAATTTTTTTTAGTTCTCAACGAATTTTAGCGATGGGTCACCATTTCTTATTAATTCTTCAAGTTCTTTTTTTTTTTGTTAAAATCTTTTTACTCATAATGATTTTGTTGTTTCTAAAAAAAACCGTAAAGAAAAGAATTCTATGAGAATATAAAGTGTTTTTGCTTCTTACTGAGTCGCTTACTTCTTTATTTCTTTAATATAGTAAGCATTGATATGAATCAAACGACGCTAAACTAAGAAAACTGTTTCAGAGACGAGTTTCAGAATTAAAAAGTGTGATTCCGCTGATCGCAACTTCTAAGTCCAAATCATGTGCATCATTTAGACTTGAATATGTAATATATATCCTTAAGAGAATTCAAATTCTAGACGACTTATTGAAGTGAAAATATTGCATTTTTTTAGATTATTTGTTTTTTACCTCAATTTGATGTGCTCATTCTTCTGAGGGTTTTAGAACGTGTGATACTACGTAAGATAAGAACATTGAATTAATCGAAGTATCCGTGAATGTTATAGATACATTTTTATCAAGTAGTGATTTTTAGCTCTGTTTGTAGTATTTATTTAAGATTTGGTTTCTATCTTAGATGTTCGTTTTGATCGTATACCAGAAAGTTAATGTTACAGTAAAATTTTTTTATTATTTTACAATTTTTAAATAATCTGTTGCAAAAATGTTTTCAATAGAGTGAGAATTACAGAACTGAAAATTTGGCCTTTTTTAACTCGTCTCTTATCATCATTTTGCCAAAAATTTTCCGCTTTCCCTAGATTAAACTCGTTTCGTCGACTATAGCTACGAACTACCAAAAGATCTGAAACTCTCACAATAAACTACTAAAATGAATCTCAGCCGGTATGGCTGAGTGGTTAAATTCTTTGGCACGTACTACGAAAGTACTGTTTTCGAATTTAGGCACCAACAGACATAGAATATTCTTAGACAAGTTACTATAACAACTGTTTTTCTTGGATCACCCGTACAACAGCATACTGTCTACATTGTGACGTACATCGACCATTATAATTAATATATGATTAGTTCATGTGCATGAGAAGCTCAAACTTGGGCTTTTCACATTATCATCAATCAAATTTCGAAGATGAATTTCTCTACTATTTCTGAATAGGAGTACGATATTGAATTAAAAAGAATATTGTAAAAAATGCACTAGTTCTGCAGCAACAAATCTAGACTTTGAATAGTTTTCATTATTTCCACCATTAATTAGCGTTTACATAATGCGTATAGTTCCAGTTTTAATGCAATTCATCACTTGAAGAATTTCGCTCGTAAATGTCTCATATAAAAAAGTTTCTTATGATGCTAAATATAAATCAATTGTTTAATGTTTTAGAAATATTTTAAAAACTATCGAATAATGAAATTCATTATTTAGATATTTGCCCTATACTACTAATGAAACATCTCATATTTATTTTTTAATGTTTTTCACTTGAAATTCTTATATAATTTAATGAAAACGTACTCGAAATTTTTGAAATATCCACAAGTGACAAATCCATTCGCAACAATAAATTTGTAGAACTTTGATAACTTTTTGTTTACATGTATTCGTTGAATCGACATCTAAAATAATGATATTCATATATCTTTTATAATAATACTTTAATTGATATTCAAATTCATTCATTTTTAGTTGAAGAATCATATAAAGTAAATCATCGTTCTAACAAGTAATTTTGCACTAATGCACTACACTGTTCTAGATGATCAATGGAAAACATGCATATATACAAAACTACTATAAACATGCATAAATAATAAACAACTGAAATCATACGTGTATAACGTTTATGTTGATTTAATTAATAAGAATGAAAAGGGAAACAAAGAAAAAGAAAAATCGACTTAAACAAGACGTGCAACAAAATAAATTAATGAATGTAAGTTTTCATAGAATAATTACAATAGAACTCACTTTCTGTTCGAACACTCATTTTATCCGTTTCGAGAGCAGGTAATACTTCAGTAATTATAGAACATTTTGAATGAGATTTAGGTTGATGAAGCTTTAAGGATAAATTTTAGAAAAAAAAATAAAAGTACAGAATGGTCCAAAAGTAACGCAACATAGAATTCTTTTGACTTTTTTCTTCATACATAATCAGTTTGATCTCTTATTTATATCATATACATTAGGTAATACTAATTATAGATATAGCATATGATCAGTGTTTTTCTAGAGAAATTCCGTATTTGTCGAGCTCTATTCGATTTTCATATTTTTCTTTGTTTTTTCCGACCTGTAAAATGAATCTTATAGAACCAGATTTTGTATTGATTTAACCTAAAAGAGATCAAAATTGATTAAATTGAATTCATTCCACATTTCAGAGTCAGTAAACAAAAATATGAAGATTGAATAGAGTTCGAAAAACACAGGATTTCTCTCATAGTCATATAAGAGTATTTATGACATATTTGTACACTTTAAAATAGATTGCTTGATCATAACACAGGACAACGATTATGAAGCTCGTAAATGAAATGGATATTTACGGTCATCATACTGGATCGTCTATTTCGTCGTATTTCTATGTATACGGTCGTTTACGACCGTGCTTGTTTGGCCCGGGATGCTATATCTTTGACTTGTATCACTTAGTATATATATGGTATAAATATAAGATCAAACTGACTATGTATGAAGAAAAAAAAATGGAAAAAATTCCATGTTGCGTTACTGTTGGTTCATCCTATATATTTCTCTTTTTACTGTAACAATTGAATCATTATAATTTTGATTTCGTTCGCATATATGCGAAGAGCTTTTTGTTTTTCTATTTTTTTGACTTTCATTTGGTGAATTTGATCTTGTATCATCAATAAACATTATTTCTGCATCATCATTTATTAGTGTATTCGATAAACTGAAATGTGACTTATTAAATTGATGAATTGATGATATTGTTTGAGATAATCGCATATTATTTGAATTATTTGTCTGAAAATTAAAAAACAAATAAAAATTTTTCTTTTTGTTTTAGAATTATTTACATTTTCATTTTGTTTATATTCAATTGAAATAGTACAATGAGAAATTTGACGATCTAAATCATCATAATAACATGGCGTATTTTCAGTATGTAAATGTGATTGAGCTTCTAATGCTTTTTGTGCTTCTTCATTTTGTATTTCAAGTTCATCTTCAATTTTACGTCTTTCAAGTTCTTTATTTTCAATTTCAATTTGTTTTTGTTGTTCGAAATAAGACATCGAAACAATAGCTAAGATTAAATTAATCAAATAAAATGAACCAAAAAATATGACAGCAAGAAAATAAAAAAAATGATAACGACCAGCTGCTGACAGTACCTAGATTTAGAAAACAAACAATAATTATAATTTATAGAATTTATTTTCATTTGTTTTCTTTTTTTTTATAAATACTATTTGATAAAGATTTTCCCAATAATCTTGTGTCATCAAACGGAAACATGCAAGCATAGCCCAACCATAATTGTCAAAACTATATTAAGAAAAATTAAAAAACATCAAAAACAAACATAAATAAAATCTACCTTGTATATCCAAAATCAGGACTACAAAAGAACAACAATAAAATTTGATTAAATGATTAAAAAAAAAACATTTTACCTAATGCCTCGATCTTTCCAACAAACATAACCATCAGGACATTTTGTACTTCCACTTGAATTACCACAAAGAACATAAAGATCATCTTGTTGATACCAATTAGCTGTAAAAAGAAAAAAGAAAATTATAAAGATGAATTCAAACGTTGATGATAATGATGTACTCTGATGATAAACAAAGGTTTCTCACAAAATATCTGTCTACACGAATAATGTTTACCATTGTAATATTTTGCATGATTTTCAACAATCTTCTAATATAATGGGAACAATGTATTTTTTTTCGATTAATTCTTTGTTCGATTTTTCTCTTTAGGCAGAACAGCATAGATCTTATGTATGTTTAAACTCAATTAAATGAATAGATTCAGAAGATACTACTGTCATAATTCTTTTTTTTTATCAAGCTTTTGCATTGAATTTTGTAAGTGATTTTGCTAGCTTTTGTCTTCATCATACAAGTTTTCAAAAGAATCACAACCGTAAATATTTGAGTAAATGACCATTATTATTAATCAATAAAATGGAATTTGACACAATTCTTTTGAAATTCTTGTATATATATAGAACCATGTTGTATATTCCTATTGAGTATGCACTAAGCCCGAACTTTTCGGCTACGGTCGGTCTCGTAAATACTAGGCTCAGCCATTCATATAGTTTGGTAAATGGTAGATATGTACCGAACCCAGAATTCCTGATCTGCTGTTCCTGCCTCGATGCATGCCTACTTTTCCACATTCATGACTCTATAGAAGAGGCTGTTAGCTTTTTTTTTTTGAAAAATAAACTATAGAAGTATTTCTTCGATATACAAAAGATAATCAATATTCGTTTGCGAATAGTAAAAATATGTTCAAAGTACCAAAGGAATTGTACGAATTGGTATCTTACTAATTAACAATAATAGTCTTTTGTTTGAATATGTAAGCCTATAATACTTCTGAAGATTTGATTGGAGCTCGTTTCGAATTCATAATCAATTATAGTCTTGTATAATCAAAAGAAAAACTCACAAAATGATTCATAAAATCTTTGATAAAAGACTTCAAATCCAACAAAAAATCTATCGAAAATCAATAACGTACGGAAAGTCTCATCTGAAATTTTTCTTTTTTTTTTTCATTTCTATTCGAATTTGTTTTAGACAATTGATGATACAGATTTACTCATGAATGAAAATAATGGAAATTTTGCTTGTGAGTATCTATTTCACTTTTTCTACTATTGAATTTATAGAAAATCTTTTCTTGACATACATTCATTATTCAATGCTTTTAAATAGGATTCATATGACATATTAAATCCAATATTGGCAGATTTGGAATTATTGAGAAATGATTTATATGTTAGTACACATTTTTGTCGAAGAATTCCCATGTAAAGTTGTAATCCTATCTATAATTAAAAGAATAATATATACATATATATATGTCTCTTTTTTCCTTGATAAATATCAAACCAAAGCAAATATAGAAAGAATAAAACTTGATAAAACAGCTACATCTCGTAGAGCAATAAAAGATTGTATTAAAGCATTAACAATTATTTTTAAACCTAAAATAATTAATTATCTATCAATATAAAAAGAAAAGACAAATAATTACCAGGTATAACTGCAACAGTTTTTAATGCTCGTAATACACGAAATGTTCGTAATACTGCAACTTTTCCCAGATTAATAAAAAATGTTATATATCTAAAAAGATAATCGAACAAAAAAGAAAATAAAAGATGTTTTTCATTTTATTTTGAATACATACGCAAATGTAATTACAATAAAATCTAACCAATTCCATGGATCACGTAAAAATGTATATTTTTGTAGAATAAATCCTCGTGCAATACATTTTGTTAATGCTTCAAATGTATAAATTATTGTAAAAATATACCTATTTTATTTCAAATAGATAACAAAAAAAAACAATTATTATATTAATAAGAAAAAAAAACTAAACAATTATTATTTACTCAGTCACTTCTGGTGCATTTCTAAGTGTCATAAATATACAATTTGCTAAAATTGTAAGCATAACGACTGTACTAAAAAGTGTATGTGTTAATATACGTATAGCTAAGCGTCGAAAACAATTAAATGGAGAAAATATAAAACAAGCTCGTGTTGCACTAAATCGAAATATGGTATGACTCCGATCAACAACAACAAATACCTATGATTGGAAAAAAGAAAAAGGCAATAATAAAAACTAAAATATGGTTTTTTTTTCAAAAAAATCTACATTACATATTCGGTACGATAATATGAATCGATTTCTTCAATTGGTTTTCCAATAAGTTCAGGTGGAAATCTATGTTGTAAAACACGTGGTAATGTTTGTCCAACAGCCAATTCTTTGTTAGGAACTCGATTAGGTTCGATTGGTTCATCTTTTGATGATTTATTTAAATGAGGCTTCTCATTAATATCATCTTCATATATTGTTTGTTGTTGTAATCGTTCAGAAGCAATTTGTTCAGCTTCTTCTTGTCGATACTGTTTAATACGTTGAAGTGATTCTTGTGTAAATTCACGAAAAACAATCGATTTGTAATTCATTATGATGATTAACACATAGATCTGTTCATATACATATAGTTTTATTGAACAATAAGAAATCATACAAAAAGAAAATCATAAGATAAAATAAAATAATGTTTTTTGTTACTTCGATATAAATAATGTAAATAATTTTCTTTATGATTTCTTCAGAAAAGATTAATCAAAGACAAAAATAATAAATCAAGGTGTGGGGTGAGTATGAAAAAAGAAGACTAACATCCACACCCTGATGACTCAATAAAACAACTATTATATATTCGTTCTGTGAGTGTGTTTTTCTCTTTCTTTTCCTGTCAATTTGTTTATGAATACATGAAACGATTAAGTTATACACAATTCGAATGAAAAGTAGATTTGCTATCAGTTGATAAAAAGAAAAATAATTGTTCCAGCAAGTGTTTACTAAAGGCATACAGGAGTTGATATTTTTTTATCATTATTCTATACTACATGAAAAGTACTCATTCATTTTAAGAGTGTTTCTCTTTCTTGTTGTGACTTATCATTTATGAACGTGCGATAAAAAAGAAGTTATATTGGATTTGAAAGAAGATAAAAAAATTCTCTATCTTCTAGTAAAACGAAGTTTTCTTTCAGTAACGTCCTATTCGAGAGAAATCTATATAGATATGTACATGAAGAAAATCAATTCATTTTAGAGAAACAATAAAGAGCAAAAATAATTATTTCAAGTTATCATATTTACTTGATTGTTTAAAAAGTATTATTTCAACATATCTGTCATGGAATACATTTTGAATAAAGAACAACATGTATCGATATGTTTATTTCATCCAAGCGGCTAAAAATATAAGATATGTTAATGCCTATGTGAAATTCAAGTACTTACAACTAAGATATATCTCATGTGCAAACCACACAATAGATAGATGCACCGTCTTGTAAGATGCTTGACATTTTTTTTGTTACAGTCCTTATATAAAGAATAGATGAAAGCAAAACAATTTATGGGCGATGTCTGAAATGTCATGCTATTGTTATATTAGTCTCATAATTCAATAAAATCAAATGCTATTAACTTAATTTTTGTCGTGCTATTTAGCTGCAATGTTGTTAAATCTAATATGTGAGACTTGGTTTTTCTAAGTTGCTTTTATAAAAATAAGATTTTAATTGAAAATCGATGAATTGAACCGAAAAAGTATTTTCATAATAGTTATTAACTAAAGTGACATAATTCTTAGTCAAACTCGCTTATTCTTTATTTATTTCGCTTTATATAGAACGATAGAGTAAAATGACATGCACAACATTTCTTTCAACACCAGTGCTTGAAAATGTACTGAAGAAGTCACAGTAATTTTCAATATTATCTTCAGCAAAAATTTATTTCATTGATCCGAATTATGTTTTCAAAAAATAAAAATGATTTAGTAGTTATTAGTATATAGGGGATTATATTACTATTAGTCGACTGATCGGTAAATACTTATCAGATTCCATAGAAGAGACTTTAGGCTATCGAGTGATATCTTTTTTTGTAAAATCTTCATTCAAAGTTCTTATTTTTTTCCAAAGATATATACGTACTCAATAGATAATATTTAGTGTTATCTCTGTGGAAAAAGTTCTTTTTTTTTTCCTAATGTAAAATTACTGAATTATTCAGTCTGACTATATTTGATATGTTAATATATGATTGATAGCCTCTAAAATAATAATACAAATCTATTTCAATTCATATTATATTATTTGAATACGATGATAATGTATGTTAAGTTGACATGTCAGATACAAGAATAAATATGCGAATTTTTTTGTTTTGATTTGAAACAAAAAACGACGTAATCAAAGATTATTTTGATCAACTACGCATCGGTGACAATTAATAAGACAATCAACAGAAAGATAACTGACGGAATAAATCATGATTGATTGTGATTTCTGGAATATTTTTCGATTTGTTCATATGTACTTTCATATAAGAAAAATGACTGAACATCAACAACATTTATTTGACTAATATCTAAATCAAGTAATAACATTTCCTGTCAATTGTTATTGATTAATGACGTGATTTCAGCAACTAGTGAGATAAAAAATTGAATTAATTTTGTTATAATCAAACTATAGTACTTCATTTTATACAAATTAACATTGAATGACGAATAATTATATTTCAAATTTAATTATTCTATAACGATTTCATAAAGACAATTATTTAGATCGAATAACATTGTTTTTGTTGGACAATCTTCAAATTGTCATAAATTGACTTTAATTGCGATTCATAAAAAATGTATATATTTAAGTAGATGATACTATGTAGTTGGATTAATTCAAAATATCAATTTCGAACTTAATGGGAGCCGACTATGATTGAAATGAGGTAAAACCAAGGAAGAAATAACTGATTTTCTGATTACTTTGATTGCCAACAGTCCTGTATATCTAGTGACAATCGAATCGAGTTTTTGCTTACTATATCTCGAATGTCCATCTTTGGATTTGGTGCAGCTGCTACATATTGGTTAGGGTGTGGGTGTTCAATCTTCCATGTGTTCATATCCATTATTATGAAGACGAAATGTTCATTGTATCTATGCAAAGTTCATGAATGTCGCGTAATTATAAAACTTAGTTTTAAACTGTTTGCCCTCCATGTATTCGTCAGTGTTGTAAATATTCAAATATGTTCAGTTTGTTTTTATATATATATTCAAGATTTCCAAAAAGTGACTATATAAAAAACTTATTGAATGTTTCCATCGCACTTTCATAAAATGAGCCAAATATTCTTTCCTCATAATACAGAACAGTTTTAAATTTATATCTGGAAGTAAAATGTTTATTGATACTGTTTTTATCTATTACTATTAATTACAATAGAAAAACATAATGTTTTTTTTTATCCAGAAGTAGTATCAGTCACCTGATGCTTTTGTAAATTGCATTGTAGAAAAGTTTTCAATATTTCTGCAAAACACTGAAGAAATGAGAGAGACAAGGATATTGTAATCGTATCATGAAAAATCTATTTAAAAAACCGTCAAAATCTAGATAAATGAAAAGAATCGAAAATATTCAGAAACAAACGGCAGTTTTAGAAGAATCATTGCAAGATGCTACATGGGACATTGCGATGTCTTAGAAATTGCGAAATAATGGAGAAAAACTTGGAATCCTATCGAACACGGCTCATCTTGTAGAAATGATAAAACTTTCAGTTTCTATCTTGTTAGTAAG